CCCTACAAATCTGGGCAATCAAGGAAATATTCCTTAAGTATTATCTCCTTATTAATAAATATAAAATGAAGAGATAATATTTAAACTGACACAGTTCTAGTATGACTGTATGTTTTGTAAGACAAGTAGAGTGGTATATATATTTTCAACCTCTACCTCGTACTATAGCTATAAATAGGGGTCTCTTTACCAAGTCAAGAGACACTAAGAGCCATCTCATACACTCAAGTATTGAAGCTCCAAGTTACAAGGGTCTGGATCTACAACCTCTCCAAGTCTCCCATATATCAAGACTTGAGTCTTCAAATATCTTCTAACGTTCTTCAAATCTTCCATATCAAGATTTGAAGGAATCGGTGGTGGGTCCAAGAACAAGCTGCGAAGCCCTTGGATTGGTGTTGGAGGAGAAGAATCGAAGGAAGCTCTCTATAAGTTCGAGAAAATTCAAGAAATTGTACCTAAATTTATATATCATATATTTGTCATGTATTTTTCTTGTCATTTTGCAGACTTGAAATATAATCGCGTACAGTAACAACAATAGAGAAGTTTTACTTAGAAATGACTACTCAATAGTAGAGAAGTTTTACTTAGAAATGACTACTCAATAGTAGTTGGTTTGTTCTTTACAACCCATATCTTCTCACAAGATACAATTGTCATATAAATATGGAGATAAATTCTGGACTGAAAGCTGTTGAGTATTTCTAGAAATATATCTATAAAAAGTCATGATAAAATAGTTGTTTACATATCTTATATTGATGGCAATAACTTAGTTGATGAAATTTAGGATTTTTTAAATGCTAGATGAGTCTCTACACAAGAAGCGATGTGGAGGATATTTGAATTTTTCTTAAACAAAGTAAATCCAGCAATAATAAATGTGTGACTATATCTTGTTGAAAAATAATTTGTACGTTACTAGGAGCTTCAAGATCTAATATATGTTATACAGTCAAACAATGTCTCCAAGACAATACTAACAGGATTCTTGAACTTCTATTGTAGAAATCCGAATGCCAAAAAGCATCTTTATCAAGACTATGTTTGGAAATCAAAAGATCGGTATTGGTTTGAAAGGATAAATGTAAACTATTGCAAGAGTAAAAGTGTAAATCCTACTAAAGGTAAAAGATATTATTTGAAGATCCTACTAAATCATGTTCCAAGTCCATCTTTATATGAAAATTTGTTAATAGTAAATGGAACAAAATTTTTCACATTCAAACAAGCTATACAAAAGACAGGATTACTTGAATCCAATAATTACAAATATGAAGACACAAGAGCTCTCTAGTACATATACTTGGAGGCTATGCATGAATATTTTAAAAGGAACAGAAAAAAAACAGATAGCACTCTCATATATACCACTCTTTAAAGCATCAATTATTATCTAGATAGTATGGGTAAAAATATTGACCAATTTGACTTGCCAATTCCACCTACAATTGAGACTCATCACACAAACAGATATCCAAGAGAAATCGGAGAAGAAATCTCTATTGAGACACCTTAAACTGTGATAGGGATTTTTTTATTCACTACAAATTTTAAAACCTTATTACCCTATATCTGCTAGTGCACAGTTTGTTCATTGAGTATAAGGATAATAGGTATCGATCTCATGGGAACTTAGAATGTGGCAATCACTTGAGTTTAATTACTTGCTTTATCATCTAGACAATTAGAATTAAGGAAGTAAAAACAAACAAAGTTAACTAGGCAAAAACAACCATATAGGCGGTATGTTGCAAGAAAATAAATAAAAGTAAAGACAAGTTAGATTAGAATTACTTAAAGATTAAGTGAGAGGATCCTAGAGGCTAGAATCCCTAGTTATGTCAAGATTAGAAATTAGTTAAGGTGATTATGCTTATTTTTTCTTGAATTGTCAAGGAATAACTTCCAAATGTATGTCCTTGCATTCAACAATGGACATTCTCAATAGAAACTGCCTTGGCTAATTCCTTTAGAAATTGCTTTCCCCAATTTCTTTTACTCTTTAAATCATCCTTCACCTATGTTCACAGAGAAAAGGTCAAAAACAAATTAAATAAAATCAATGAAGTTATTTTATGAATCCAACAAAAATGATTTCACTACTTTCGTAAGAATAAGGCTAATGTTTAAGAACTTAGATCTATTTGAAAGCAACTTTCATTGCTTAACAATTATCAAATCATTCATAGTTGATGGCCAAATAACCATAAAGCATAAGCATAAGTTATCAAACTAACAAATCATGAAAAGGTATAATCATTCCTAAACTACATCAAATCAAAACTACAAGAAGTTCATCTTCAACCTAGGATATGAAAATGATAAGCTCGACATCATATTAAGAACATCTAAGTATAAAACAACCTTATAAGAAAGCATGGCAAACAAGAATAAGAGACAAAGTTTAGGAAGAAAAATTCTTATTCAATATCTTGGAGGTTGAATTCTTAAATTCCTACACAAGTTGATCTCTCAAATAAAATTGGTACAAGAGTGTTTTCAACTTCCTCTAAAAGCTCTTAAACTAAGAAAAAAACTCTCAATATAAAGTTAGAGCTAAACTACTTCTATCTATACTTCTACTCTACTCTACTTCACACTACAAGATGCTGTATCATGTCCAAATGAATGAAATACGAGAGGTATTTATAGATTTTCTTGGATGAGAAAATGTGCTCATACCATGGTCATAAAGCTGTTCTTCACTTTTCCAACTTAAGTTTAACTGGATCTAGCCGGATTTTATTAGAAAAATTTGTCCACAAATCAATGTGAAACAAATGCAAGTTGCAAAATCAACTTGCAGAAGGTTCTCAGGGATCCGTGAGGTGGATCCACGAGGTATACCTTGCGGATTGCCTCACGATTTTTCCTTTTACACAATTTTGCACTTTCTGCTCAAATCTCAACTTTGCCCTGTTTTTGGGCCAAATTCAACTGCATTTTTCTTGATGATGAAAGTTGAATTACTTACATAAAACATGAAAGTTGTAGTTCTTTGAGATAGCTTTTCAATGATTTAAGAATCATCTCATTTGAATTTCTATAGGCTAATAAATGACCAAAATAAGCCTAACTAGTTGATGCCCTGTTTCAGCACTTGATAGAAATTCTTCCGACTGTAATTTGACTTTTTGACCTGAAAAATCAATGAAATGGATTTAGATGTCTTATAAGAATTGTATTGTTATGTCTTAACTTCAAAATGAGTTAAGAAACATCTCAATCTAATATTTGTACCTTATGATATAGCCAAAATACTAAGATGTGTCAAAAGCTATCAAACTTCTCTTGATTTGAATTAATTTACATGACACGAAAAGCTACAAAAATAACATAAATTTGCATATTACCCACACTTTTACATGTTTTGGTTAAGAAACACTATTTGTATGAAAAGTAATTTTTAAAGGAATTCAATTCTTCCATTTTAACTTAAAACACACCAAAAATTTACTCTAAATCCTAACTAAAAATAGGCAAAATAAATGCTAATCAAACTGATCGTGAAGTTGAACTAAAGCTAAATCTATAACAAGAAGAAGCATTTTAGAAAATAGTTCAAAAGGCAAACACTGGAATAGGTAATATATTTTTCATTGATAGACCCGGAGGAGTCGAAAAGAACATTCTTGTACATACATTATTATCTCATCCAAGATTAAAAAAAAATGATTGTACTTATCACTGAAATATTTGGACTGGCAACAGCTCTAATGCTTGATAGAAGAACTGCACTACACGCTTATACTTTAAAAGACCACATAACCTAACTGAAAGCAGTCTTTATTCCATATTAAAATAAAGTGGTAATGCAAAATTACTTAAACAATCAAAATCAATAGTTTGGGATGAAGCTCTAACAGCCAAAAGATTTGTTATTGACACTTGAAAGATCACTAAAAGACATAATGAATAATGAAAAAGATTTTGGAGGGAAAGTTGATGTCTTTGAGGTGATTTTTGGCAAGCTCTACCAGCTATTCCTCGAGTTAGAAGGGAAAAAACTGTCATCACAAGTTTTGTCATGTCAACCTTATTGATTAAAATGGAAAAGGTGAATCTAACAAGAAATATGTATGCAAGAGGTGACTCAAATTTTAGTGACTTTTTATTATAGGTTGGAAATAGAGAAAAATTAATTAAAGAGGATGACATGATTGAAATACCAACGAAAATGCTGATTAAATATAAAAAATGGAGAAGCTTTTGAAGAAGAACTAATGACAGTATTTATCTGTCACTAAAACAAAATGCATGCTTCGTTGAATATATGACAAAACTATGCAATACATGCTGCAAAGGTTGAGACAGTCGGCATTCTAAATGAAACGATAATTAGAGAGTTTCCTAGAGAAGAAAGAACTTTCAAAAGTTTTTGATGGAGGAGTTGACTACACCAATAGCAATTATCAAAAAAAAAAATTTTGAACTCTCTTACTCCGAATGGGATTATCACCATACAAGTTAGTGTTCAATAAAGTTTATCCAATCATGTTATTGAGAAATTTGGACCCTCAAATGGGTTGTGTAACGGTACAAGAATGATATGCAAAAGATTCAAAGACAATTTAGTTCACAGAAAAATTGTGATAGGAGACTACAACATGAAACAGGTATGCCTATCATCAATTTGTACGGTTATATATTTTATTCAATGAACCAAAAAGTATCAATCATGAAACAGGTATTATAACCACAAATTCCTCTATCTCTAGCAGAAAATAAAGGTTACCAATTTCAATTCAAGAGAGGGCAATACCCAATTTGATTGTGCTTTGTAATGACGATTAATAAGGTACTACGAGGAGATCACCGCGCAAATGCGCGGTGGATAGTTCTGAAATTTATGTGCCCAGTTATGCCCTGTTTGCAAAATGCCTGCATCGCAACTAAGGCTCAAAAAATGGGAAAATATGTCATTGAAAAGTACAATAATATACACAATAAATATAGATTGTTCATAGTCAAGGAATTCATAATAAATAGATAAAACAATAAAATTAGTCTTGTAGAATCTCGAAACATGAACTTGAACTTCCATGATTCCGATAAATGCATATTTTAACTTAACCAAAAACAAAAACTTTCTGTAGTTCGTACTCGCCCTAGAAGTGTAATGAGTAATTTCGAAAGAAACTGCTGAAGAACCTGCCATGTATTATAACAAAAAAGAAAGTAAGATATAATCCATCGAAATTAGTTTACTGCTGTAAACCAAGTTAAAAATAAATCAAGGGACTTGAATAATGCCAACAAGGACAGGACAAATTCAACAAACATTTGCACTTTTGGTTACTAATACTTTCATAAAAAATTTGTTACCCCTTGTATTTTTTAACCCATTTCACAAGCAAGAAACTTTTCTTTTTTCTTTTATTTTGGTACAGTAGTTGTCAAAGTCAAGAAATGAAAAAATTCTTATAGGTAAGCTAAAGTGTCTTGCTTGGTAACTCGAGTTCTCACCAAAGTGAAACTATTAGATGTGCCAGATCCTTGGAGATGGTATGCAAGTAAACTTTTCCACAACTTGATCATGCAGCTGCGCAATTTACACAAAATGCCAATGGAAGATAAGGTGAAAAAGGAAATAAAATCATGCAAACAAATAGGCCAAGAAAATCCTAAAATGTAAAAATGAAGCAGAAACTTCTCCAGAGACGATATCTTTATATTCTAATGACATGCTCCAATCCAAAATCCAAAATATATGCAACTCTAAATAATGTCATGTAATTCAACTTTTATTCCCAATAAAGTTCATATTACTCTAGCATCAAGAATCTATAAAAATTTTCTGGTGTAAAGAAAAACAGTGAAGGCAATATTCATCTAAAAAATTGGTATTCAATTATGTTTCAAGATTGCTCCTGTTGAATATTCGCAGGGTTTACATGGATTGTTGAGTTTTTGCAACAACTTGTTTAATCAAACTTTTGATAGCTATTCTATTCCCATAGAAAGAAAACACAAGCACATGTGACCATTAAAAATCCCTAAAATGGAACACAAAACTCTAAATATATAGGGAAGGCAAATAACAAAAAAGTTTCTATGAGTTGCTCTCCAATTTTTCATTTTTTGTAAAATCTCAAAATTAGTCCAACGTTGGTCATAAAGTTTTGCTAATCTCAATATTATTAAGAACACAGGTTTCAAAGCAGATTCATCAAGTTCACTATTCCCTTATATGTCACAGTCAGCATTAGTTTGTTAATCATTGTTAATTGGGACATACTTCACACACTTCACATGGTTTGAAATTAACTACTTCAACTGTTAACAGCCTGAGGTTTTAAGCCAAGCATTGAATAAGTTCTATAGATAGCATGCTTAGCAAAGCAATAATGACATTTCAAACTTTAATCAAACGATATTGATCCCAATCCAAAAAAATAAAAGAAAATTACCTACGAAAAACCTATGAAATACGTAAAAAAGAAAATTACCTATGAAATAGCAAAGCAACCGTATTGTCAATTCTCAAAAGAGCTGCAGAGTACAACAATCATTATTAACTTCAATTAACTTCAAAGTCTTGAAAAAAAAGAAACACAGCCTCTGAAGATCTTTATCACAGTAAAGGTGAGTAAAAAGACAGTCTACCGTAGCACAAAAAGATAAGAATTAGTTTCTTCATCTCAATTATAACTAAGAAAGCACTTGTTCACTACACTATTACCTCATACGTTAAACCTTACACATTAACAAGCACAAATTGGAAACAGTGACAGATTTTCAAATGCATCAGTGACATCTAATGTATCAGATGAATTCATATACGGTATTCAGCAAGCAAAGATAACACCATCTGTCAAATGCCACCCACAATTTGAACATCAGATGAACATTCAACGCATGAATCTTACAATAAATGTCATCAAGTAGACAAATGCAGTGTAAAATAGAGAAGTGATGTCAGAAACAAACTACTGATACCCATTCCATTCAGCATTTAAAGGCATGCCTAGGGCTGGAGGAAATATCATTGATGCTGAAGACCAGGGTGAGGCACTTGTCTGAGTAGCACCATGCAATAGAGCAGATCCACCAGTAACAAAACCCAAAGTATGGTCATTTCCTGCTACAAAAGTAGGATCAGGGTTAGATGTACCCCAACAATAACATATTCATATAAAGAAAAGAACCTTTAAAGTTGCTTAGAAGAAAGAAGATTTCACAAAAAAAATGGCGATAATAGAAACAAAAGGAGAAATCTATTGAGAGAGCATAAAAGCAAGTCTTACCAACATAAATCAAACAATAAAAATAAATGTCACCGATGAAATTTCCCCAAAGGGAACAAAATACTGTATATATATGTGGAAGCAAATTCTAGAGAAGTTTCTATGCATTATTTTCCAATTTTTCTTTTTTTCTAAAAATGTAAAATTGGGTCCAACATCAAAGGTCAATGTTGTGAAGCACAGGGATACTATTTTCTGAACATATTTTTTCCAGCCAAAGATCTTGCCAAGTTTTTTTAGTAATTTAAAAGAGGAAAGATGGTATCTTCATAGTAGATTACATGGATTTTGCTTTTTAAACTCTATTTATCTAATTCATATTACTATATATCTCATGAATCATGAGCTGACGAAAACATCTTCAAGCAAGTCAGTCATAATAATGATTTCACTTTGCAAGTCAAAACCACAAAACCAGAAAAATCGACTATGAAATAAAGATTTCATCATACAGCTTCCAAAATCTTGACATTACCAAGAATACCAAGTAGTTTAAATAACAAATTCATCATGTTCACCAGCCAAGGGAAAAAATAAAGATAGAGAAGAAAAAGATACTCGTATCTAATTTACTTTGACAAACACAATAAAACCTAAAACACAAAACACTGGAAGAAAGTTGCTCATTCTTCCAATCACTTTTACCTTTATCCTTTCTCTGACAAAAATCTCAATAAACAAAAATAGGCTAAATTAGGTGAGAGAAACTATTTATAGAAAAAGACTATGGTTTATAGTATAAATAGTAGAACACAAATAAATATTACCAGCTTTAACTACTTTGAGATGTCAACTTCAAATCTTCATATTCCTTCCTGTAACAACAACCAATAATATACTCAGAAAAGTAACACCAAAAGAACAAAAAACAGAGAGGAAAAAAAAAACATCGTCCATCAAATCCTAAACTGGGAGTGGAAGGGAAAAAAATTAAATCAGAATGATACAACAAATATACTCTCCCTTACCAGTTGTTTTTCATGGGTGGCCATTTTTCCTCCAAGAAAGGCAAAAATGGTACAACAAAACACCAAAGAGGTATAAACAATTAAGTAAATAAATATCTAAAAGCTAGCTAATCTTCAATTATTCATCATCTTAGACGATATTAAAAGTTTTTCTTCTAATTAAAAATTAAAAATCAATGATAAAACAGAAATGAGATGGAGACATTATTCATGGTAAGAAAGGGGAAGAAAAGTACCATATCTGCATGTAATTTTGAGGAATTACATTAACACCATTGAGTTCTTTTCAATTAAAGAACTTCCCCGATTGGTACTTTTCTTCCCCATTCCCATATGGTACAGAAAAGATATGGTACATTAAGGGAAGAAAACTTCCCCGATTTCAATTAAACACCAAAATGAACTAATTGTAATTTCTCGTGACCCCTCTCTCTTTCTGGACCCATCACAATCACAAAAAAGAACCAGTAAAATCAAAATAAGCATCAAGTGATATTTGGAGACCAAAACTATAAGAAAAAAAAAAAGAATCACAGCCAAGAAAAATATACACAATAATAGTAAAGAAAACCTTAGAAGTCACTTGATTACTATGCACAAGTTTGATTTAGTAAAAGTGAGCAGGTCAGTGAAAGCTCCACTGCAAAGGGAAAAAAAATTTAGAGAAAGCAAAATCAACCAATAAGTTTACTGATAATCTCTTGAGAGCTTTAGCTCATAGAGAAGGCAGTCAGGAAAAAAAAAAGGAGTAGATTTGCAGGTGCCTGAAAAGCAGAGGAAAAAAAAAGAGAAGTAAATGTTGGGTGTTCAAGTGTTGTTTATCTGTTCTAAAATGATTCTTTAGAGAGGACAAAATTAATTACATAGTAGGAGAAAATAACATGCCTTCAATCGTTCATCTTCCATTTTTTGAAGATCTAAGAAAATCACATCTATTGATAACAAATCTTGGGAAAGAAAACGGCCATCGAACATAGAAAGATTGCATCTTTTTTTCCTTTCTTATTTATCCAACAGATACCTTGGCCAGAAAAGATTTATTAGGGAGATACAAGGGAAAAATCCGGAGAAAATGTACAAAAAGGGCAAAAAAAAAAAATCACAGAGAAAGTGTTCACCTTTAGAGAACAATCTCCACATTTCTTCATGGTTTAGTTGATAGTCTGACCTCTCAACCTGTGACAAAAAATATGAAACTTATCAGAGAATGAGAGAAAATTTAATCAAGGGGGAAAAATGTGTACAGAACAAAAATGGAGAAACAGTGGATTTGAGAGGAAGATGAAAACTCAAGAGAGCAGAACAGGAGGAAACCATGAGAAAGAAGCTTCTGGTACAACGGGTTGACGGATTGAGGTGATTGATGTGAATTGACCAGCTCTGCCACTCTTCAGCCAACAGCTTTGTTGCAAAAGCCAAGAATTGAGGAATTGAGGGAGACCTCTCCTTGCTAGTTTACCCGGTGGTCAAAGACCTGCACTAAAGGAAACAAATAAAAGAAAAAAAATGCGCACATGGAGTACTACAAACAAAGAAAAAGGATTGCTAAACGTCTGAGCAAACAAAAGAATTCACGTGTGGGAAGGGACGACCATCAATTGCAAATTCGCACGGGCGGACGACCACCTGTGAGGCCCCAGTCCGTTCTTAAGTTTGATATTATGTTATATTCATTATTTGTGCGGTAACATTAGGTTTTGGGACTAATTCGAAAACCCTAAGTTGGGGTTAGGATTGAAACCCTAGTTTCTGTATTACTTAATAAGTTTGAGTGGTGATTAAAGCTAGGTATGCTAGTGTGTGTGTTTTAGTACAGGTACGTATAAGATTTGATCCATTTTAGATAGGTTAAGTGAGTTTAAAAGTTAGGAAAATCCTAAACTAGAAAAGTTTCTAAGTTTAAATCCCTAATTTTGCCCTTGACAAAAAGGTTGTTATTTAATTACTTTTATGTGAGATAAAGTATGCTTAAGTATAGGTGATTAATATAGGAGAGAGATTAGTGAAGTAATTAATTGTGGTTAAGTGTTTTAGATTAGATTAAGTTATAACCTATGGAGTTACTTGAAAGATTATCCAATGTTTAAGGGCAAGAATGGAACAAAAGCTAAGTTGAAGGTGTAAGGGCTTGAGAGCAAATTGGGAGCTTTTATGTGATTGGTGTAGTAGAAAATATCTTCTCATGTCTTGACTAGGCTTATGACTAAGCTTATATCTAGAAGATTCAAGAGAAACTAAGCTATTAAACAACAAAAATAAGAAAGAAATAGAGAGAGAGAGGGCCAGATTTGAGAGAAAGAAAAAGGAAGAGAAAAGCTTTTGTTTCTTGCATTTGTTTTCACTAATCTTGAGTTTGGATCTTGGAGGAACAACTTGGAGCTTGGGTTTTGGAAGATTAACCTAAGACACTTGCAACTTGAAGGTAAGTTATCTCTTTTGAAAGTTAAATTTTGGGGGTTTTAATCTTGAAGTCATGAAAGTGAAGTTTTTGTTGTAATTATGAATTTGTATGGTTTATGTGGTGATTATTGAGTAATTTAATGGTTAATTTTAGTTATTTATGCTGCTGGAATTTCGGTCAAGAGATGAAAGAATTAGGGTTTCTTGTTAAACATTTTAGTTAGCTCTAATCTTGTGTTATTGAACTTGTAGTGGTTGTGTTTGATGATTGGTTTCATTGGTTTGGTGAGTGAGTGGTAAAAACTGATTTGGGTTAAGAAACCCTAGGCTTCCTTAGGTTGGTTTAGCTTGGCTAATGTTTAGTTAGTTAGGGTTTGGTTAGTAAGTTGTTAGATTAAGTTTGGTAATGCAAATAAAGTTAGTTTAAGGATCATGGTTAGTTTTGGCAATTTTGTAGTGGCTTAGAGGGAAAACTTCGGACCATTTGTAGGTCATTTAGAAGTTAGTATATGTGTGCTTAGTTGGTATGAATTTGGTTGGAAACCTTGCATAAGAACCATAGAAATGAACCATGCGTTTGCGACATTGGAAACCGGCAAAACGGGCAACCAGGGCAGTTCAGCATCTGAACTTCGGTTCCATTTTTCTTGATACTACGTATTGATTCAGAAGTTTCTCAAAACATGAAAGTTGTAGCCTCTTATGTCTTGAATATTCCTGCAAAATTTCAGGTCAAACGGATCAGTGTAATCCGAGTTATAGACAAAACACTAGCACCTATTTTGTACCCTGGATTGTGTTACGTTTTGACTTTTGCTTCTGACCATGTTTTATCCGTTTTGATAACGTGCGAACTGGGTGTTGATCCCTTCATAAGAAATGTAGATCTTGGTCTCAGCTTTGAAACGGTATAAAGTGCATCCAAATCCGAGTCCCGTAGCTTCAGTTATGACCAAAACAAGATCGATTGTCAGAACTGCCTGCACATTAGACAGTTCTGACAAGAATGTTTGGACCCGTTTTCCTCCATTCTCTGTATTGATTCAGCTTTTGGTCCAAACATGAAAGTTATAGCCTTATGTCTTAGCTTTCTAACGCCTCTGGAATTTCTTGATTTCGATCTCTGAGCCGTGAGTTACGGTCTTTCAAACAGGGCCTGTTTGGTAACCCGAAATGAAATAGCTGGAACTATTTTGTGCATTTTTGACCAATACCTATTGAAACCTGGGTTGAGATGTCTAAATAAAAGTTGTAGCCCTTCCTCATATCTTCGAAACGGTGTCTCACCCACCTTGATCCGATATTCCTAGCCTAACTTTTGATCAAAACGGTTTGAGATGGCAGATTTAGCCATTTCCGTTTGCCGTTTCCGCACTTGCATGTGCCGATTTTGCCATTTTGCTTGTTTTGGGCATGTTAGTGGCCGTTTGTGATATAATGAGATGCAATCTTCGATTT